ATTGGATAAACTGAACAAAAGAAAAAGGATTGTAGAAGAAATCGAGAGTATGAGATTGAATGTAATACGATGAATGCATTAGAAATATATGATATTTATAGGGATATGATTAATATCCTGTCAGATTCAATTGCTATCCTATATTTTTTATTCTGATATGATTAATATCCCGTCGGATCCTAACCGATTTACTTGATTATGCTTATGATGAGTTGGCAAAAATATGTGGACAATTTCGATGCAATATGTAGTAGTTAAAAAATTTGTGAACAAATAAAATCCTACAACGTGGGATCATATATATGTTGGTAAAAACAAATAATTGCCAAACAAATGTGAAACCGAAAAGCCGCCAAATTGTCAATTTTGTAGCTGCCCAAAAAATCTATAGTTATCGTGGAAAATTGGTAACAACAATTCATATATAAAATTAATCAAAATCCTAGCAATACATTTAACAAAATCCTATAACTTTGGTAAGGCAATTTCGATCATTATCTTCAAGATTTTGTAGTAATTATTAAAATTGTGAATATATAAAATCCCACAGAATCTGCTGAATTGGTTAAAAAAATCTAAATTAATTTTGCTATGAGAGATTTATTACTTAAATTAATGATCTTCAAGATTTTGTAGTAATTATTAAAATTGTGAATATATAAAATCCAACAGAATCCGCTGAATTGGTTAGGAAAATCCGAACTAATTTTGCTATGAGAGTTTTGTTACTTAAATTCAATTTTAACGCGTGGGACCCATTGGTGTTACTTAAATTAGTAAGTCAAAATATTATTTTTCAAGTCAAACATACTATTTTTGTATTTTTCCAACAACCTCTTTATATTACTATAGATATAATGTGATGTCTCGGTAGTTTATTACTTTTAGCCAAATAAAAAGTCGAATTATATTCCCCCACAATTCAAGTTATTAACAAGCCAAATAAAAAACATCCCAATTCCTCAAAAACCCGACTCAATTTTCATTGTTACCAAAATCAGCCCTATCCTCAATCCACGTCATTATCTCTCCGAAAACCTCGTCCACCCTGTCATTCGGCTCGCCAATCCACATATGCCACATGTCCTCGTACACCCTCAACATTTTATCCTCGCTCCCCGCCTCCCCGTACACCCGCCGCGCCCCCTCCGGATCGCAGATCACGTCGTCTCCGCCGTGCACCACCAGCAACGCCGTTTCCAGCCTGCTGCACTCCCTCCTCACCCTCTCGCACGCCCGCAGCAGCTGCACCCCCGTCGCCGCAGTCGCCCGGCCGCAGCTCCTCCGGTTGGGGCTCCCCTCTGCCAGCTCCCTCTTCCACCCCTCCCGGTACGACCTCCTCGCCGGCGGCTCCGTCACCGAGATCCGCCACGCCGGCGCCACGGCCGCCACAGCCGGAAGCAGCCTCTCGAGCGGCCACGGCGGCTTGAACTTCCCCGACACCTCGCACATGGCTCCGGCCAAAACCAGCCCCCGCCACATGGCCTTTTGCTCGACGGCCACGAGCACGGCGAGTGCTCCGCCGAGGGACTCGCCGTAAAGAAAATGGGGGATGCCCGGGTGACGGGCCCGGGCGGAGTCGAAGCATTTTATGCAGGCCCGAATTAACGGGTCGAGGTCGGTGATATGCTCGGGTGGGCCCTCCGAGAGGCCGTGGCCCGGGAGGTCTAAGGAGGAGACGAAAAATCCCGATTTGGCCATGGCCACAGCCGTCAGCTCGAAAAGCCAGCCGCTCTCCGAGGTGTAGCCGTGGATCATGGCAATGAGGCCCTTGAGTGGGCCCGAATAAGTCGATGAAGGTTGCCATGATTGGGTGAAGATTTTGAGGTTTTGGTCGTCGGTCATGAAAGATTCGTCGTGGAGTATGTTGTGTTTCCGGTAGAATTCGGCTCGCGTAAGGTGGCCATAGGGGCTGTTGGAGTTGGCTTCATGAATTGGATGAGCCATTTTTGTTTTTGG